TTTACTTTGAAAATGAAATGCAAATGTAGAAGACGAGAAGCAAATGTGGTTAAGCCCATTCTCTATTGGAAAAATAAGATATCTTTTATAAAAATTTTCTTCAAGAATGGGCTGGATTTCACAACGAAGGTAGTATATACATATGGGTTAACGACGGCTGCCTTATGCTGGAGAGTGGCCAAGTTGTCGAGTTCATTATCAAAGGGGAGGCAAGATATTCGTTTTTTAATTATTGAAACATTTTTACCTGAAGCCAATGTTGAAATGACCGTTACATTTTCTTCTAGGGTGTGTAAAAATTTCATAACTGTGCCAATTACCAGTAGCTCACTAGAACAAAATATGTATTAATTATTAGTATTGGAGTATGCATATCGTCGCCCGTATGCCATAAACATGAATGTGTATAAAAGAAAATTTTGGGAAATCAAGTTCGAAAGTTTTTTTTGCGTGACTTAGCTCTACATTTTGGCAAACGAAATTGTAAAATATTTACTTTCCGTGTACGCATGATATCCAGGGTTTTGGTATAACATAGAAAATCCAAAAATAACCCAAGTCAACCCAATAACTCAAAACTGATAAATTTGCACATTCATGCTTCTGGCATGAGGGTTACGATATGTGAATTAAAAACTTTAAAGGCGTGTTACTCGAGCTTTCGGTTTTTTGAGTTATGACAGTATTGAAGTAAATGAGCTTTATGTTCATTTTCATAACATTCATATTGGATATTGAAGTTAATATTCGAACGTCGCCACAATATTTATTGGGTAATTAAAAAAAAAAAATTACTTAAAAGTTCTTAGCTCGTCGATATTTACTCTGTACTTGTGAAAAAGTATCGAGTTCTCGATACTACTCAGTACTCGTTACTCGAATCGTTCTATCACTAGCTATTTGAATAAAATGCTAACTTTTAATTTAATTGTTGCAGTTTGTGAGAATTTCGGTATAGGTCTGAAAGGTGAATTACCATGGCGCCTTAGGTGTGTAACATTTGTGCGAATCACAGGCTATTTAATATTTGTTTGAAATTATATATTTGACAGATCAGAACTTAAATACTTTTCGACTACAACTAGGCGGCGGGAAAATCCAGAGAAGCAAAACGTGGTGATTATGGGGCGAAGAACATTCTTTTGTATACCTGAAAATAAGCGGCCATTATTCGGTCGTCTAAATATCGTATTGAGTACAACACTCAAACGATCTGAGTTACCAGATAATGTGCTGCTCTACCCGAGTTTAGAAACAGCAATGCAACATTTAGAACAGTCTGATCTCAAGCAGCAAATTGAAAAGGTTTGGATCGTTGGTGGAAGCGGAGTGTACAAGGAGGCTATGGCTTCGCCCCGTTGTGATCGGATATATTTAACCGAAATTCTGAAAGACTTTGAATGCGACACATTTTTCCCTAAGATTCCCGATGATTTCAAAGAAGCCAAACCTGATCCTTTCCTACCCCTGGGTATTCAAGTGGAGGACGGCATTCAATATGTATATAAAGTGTTAGAGAAGCAAACAATTCTTGATTAAATCAGGTACCTATTTGAAGGAAACTGCATTTTATTTCGTTTTCACGGTATTCGTGTCTTCAAGGCCCTTGGCAGCTATCATTAGTTCATATAATTGTACTACTTGATCGTCTTTAAGCATTTCAACAGTTCTAGTGTCCAATTCGCCCCCTAGTGTCCCCGTTGGTTTACCCTTTAGCCCTAGTTGTGAGGTAATCGTCACGGCATATTTCTGTAAAATAAGTGTATTAAACACATTAGGAAAATCATAAATATGACTCGTTAAAAAAGCATGGGGGAAATTTTCCAATAGGGAACCACGCTTTGAAGACACGGGGGAAAGGGGGCCGCCCACATCTTAAATATGCGTCCAACTCCTTTCTATGTTCTTTCAACATTCTGGGAGTGATGGTTTCATTTAAAAAAATCTGGCTAATATCGTCACCCGGGTTTCATAAAAATTCTAATGGTTCCGTTTTGGAAATGCCGAGGCATGTTTTTCAATCCCTTACAGCCCATTCAGTCATAAATAGTTGTGCTTCCATAGGTGAGCATGCAAGATGCCGCCGAAATTCGTCGCGCGCATATTTATCACCCAAATCTCGTAGCTCCTGTGGTAAACCTGAAAACGGACAAACGCATTAGTGACCATGATTGCATGACAGTAAACTTGCGGTGATGTTAGAAATTACCTCTATGCAAACGTAATATCGTCTTATATAAAATACGCACCTTTTGTGCGTGGCTTAATTGATCTACTATTATTTTAGACATCTATTTGGTGAAGCAATTATTTACTATCTTGCAATTATAAACGGTTAACTATTGAACAGCTGATAATAGATCAAAAACTAACTTTTGAGGAATTTCAGATGTAGTTGCTTGAAGTGGTGCAAAACTATCGATGTTTTTTTTTTTTCGCTACTTCGATTGTAATTTGGAACTATCGATAGTCCGGCATACTTGTGCACAGTGTACGGAGTTCGAAAAATGTGATAGAAGTTGGCAGTCTTTTCTTAAAGACGTAAGGATGTGATATCGGAGCAGCAGAATTTTCATCTCGTTGGTTCTTAATAGTTGTAGGTTTGTATAGTAACCCAAGAATAGCTCTGATCCAGTACTCCATGAACTTACAGGATTTTATACGAACTTGCAGGAAGTTGCAGGAAAAATGTTCCCGTACTCCAAAATCCTGTAAATGAGAGCGACTTTTGGAGAGTTGTGTAGAGAATGCAGTTGCAAGATTTTTTTTCCTCTGGTAAAAGCCCTGATCCAATACTTTTCGTGAAAAATCCTGTAAAACTGTCAAACAGCAAAATTACTCTCTGAAGTGAGAGTAAAAAGTGAATAATAACAACAAGTACGGGAACAAAAAAACATTTTTCCTATAAAAACGTCAACCAGTGATTGCTTGACACTTTTCATGATTTTACCAGAAGAACAAGTTTAAGTAAAATCTTGCAACTTCATTCTCTACACAACTCTCCAAAAGTCGCTCTCGTTTACAGGATTTTGGAGGGTTTTGGAGTACGGGAACATTTTTCCTGCAACTTCCTGCAAGTTCTAATAAGTCTTAATAGCTCTGATCCAGTACTCCATGAACTTACAGGATTTTACAGAAGAACGAGTTGAAACTGCCAATACAGTTCACTTTACAGCGAAAAACGTGATTTAATTTTGCTAAATGCGAAAATATTGCGTTTTTCATCTAATCTTTTAGAGAATAGGTAACGTTTTAGTGCACTCCATTGCTTTGCAATTTAAGCGCTGGTTATACTTACATTGCAAGTGCAGGGCATAGAGAAGCAGCGCATGTTGTTGTTGTTGTTGTAGCGGCTACAACAACCCCGCCCAGATCGGTTGGTATCTCAGTCGTTGTCGTCAAGTTCCACTAACGGCAACCCTAGGAAGCGTGCAGCTTCTGCGGGGTTTGCCCATAAGGACAAGGTCGTTAGGGATGTCGGGTTTGCCGGGCATGCGAAGAGATGTTTCGAGTCATGTGGGGTCTCTCCGCATGCCGGACATTCATTAGGCACATCCTCATTCAGCCTACTCAGGTAGGAGTTCAACCTGCTGCAGTAGCCGGAGCGAAGTTGTGCAAGTGTGGTGCGCGTCTCCCGAGGCAGATGAAGCTCCGTCTCGTCAATGTCCGGGGGTGGTGTGCCTAGAACGGCATTCACAGGTCTAGAGTCTACATAACTCGAGACTGAGTCCCTGTGAATGCCGCTCAAGGCCTGTCTGTAGGCTGTCGGGTCCAGAGGTTGCTTAATGAACCTCTGGACTTCGTCCGTTAGTTCATATAGATGCCTCCTGACGTGCCTAGGCGAGGGCTCCTCCGCAAGCAGCTGTCTGCACGGGTGGCCACTTCTGTGGGTCCCGATCAGGAACTGCTTGCAGAGCATTATATTGTGCTCCTTTACCGGGAGCATTTGCGCCTCGCCGTGCAGGTGGTGTTCAGGCGTCATCAGGAGGCATCCCGTCGCTGTCCTCAGTGCGGTGTTTTGTGCGGTCTGTAGCTTCGTCCACTGCGTCCTACTAGTCCCAGGCGACCACACTGGCGCTGCGTAGTTCAAAACCGGCCGGCCTATTGCCTTGTATGTTGCCAGCAACGTTTCTTTGTCTTTGCCCCAAGTACTGCCGGCTAGCGACTTGAGGACCTTGTTGCGGCTCTGTACTTTATTGACAATAGCGGTTGAGTGCGCAGAGAAGGAGAGCAGGCTGTCGAAAGTTACTCCGAGTATTTTGGGGTTATTCACCGTCGGAATTGGTGTGTCATCGACGTGAATCCCCAGCGGTAGCCTGACCTCCTTCGTCCAGGTTGTGAAGAGGGTCGCGGAGGATTTCGTAGGGGAGAGGGCTAGACACTTTGCAGTGAAGAAGCGAGAAAGTTCGGAGAGATAGCCGTTTACTTTCGAACACAGGTCATCAATTCCATTCCCAGTCGCCATAATCGAGCAATCGTCGGCATAGGAGACAATCGAGACTCCCTCTGGTGGTTGAGGGAGCTTTGAAATATAAAAGTTAAACAGTAGCGGGGAAAGGACACCACCCTGAGGAACCCCCTGTTTTATTTTTCGCTGCTTACTCGTTTTGTCTCTGAACATTACCGACGAATGTTGACCACTTAGATAATTTGCCGACCACCGTTTGAGCCTCTGTGGGAGAGAGGAGGCCTCTATATCTTCTAGTAGCGTGGAATGGCAGACGGTGTCAAACGCCTTTGACAAGTCCAACGCTACTAGAATCGTTCTCTCACAGGGACGGTTACGGTTAAGGCCACGAGTTATCTGAGTGTTTATGGCGTTAAGTGCTGTTGTTGTGCTGTGCACTTTACGGAAACCATGCTGATGCTTCGCTGGGGTCAGGTGATTTGTAAAGTACGGGAGTAGCAAGGCCTCGAGTGTCTTCGCTACCGGGGAAAGGAGTGTAATCGGACGATACGAATCTCCTTTGTTTGCAGGTTTCCCCGGTTTGAGCAGTGGGACCACTCTCCCCACCTTCCAGATGTCTGGGATGATGAGAGTGGCCATTGACAAATTGAGGACCTCCGTTAGGTACGCTACCCCCGCAGGACCCAAATTTTTCAGCATCAGCATGCATATACCGTCGGGACCCATGGCTTTGGAGGCTTTCGCCTTCCCGATGGCCACCTGAACTTCACCGCAAGTGAAAGCAAGGGGGGCACAATTTGTTGGCAGTTTGTGCAGCCTTCTGGTCACTCGACGCTTGGCTTTGTCCACCGGAGGATGCAGTATGAACTGCCGGCTAAAATAGCTCGCGCATCGCTCCGGGTCCGACGAAGCATGGTCGCCGAAGGAAATTTCGACTCTGTCGTCGTGCTTCGTCGGATTAGACAATGACCTCACGGTTGACCAAAGCTTGCTCACACCAGAGGTGAAGTTGCAAGTCTTCAGATGCTCCTCCCACTTCTTCCGCTTATGTACGTTTACAAGTTGCAGCGCATGTGAAGCAGTGGTGTAATTGTACTCGGCATAGAGCGCATAATTTTCCAGAATCAGCTGCTCACTGTGATCAGTTAGTCTGTTCCACTACTCCAGCATTTAGTTAGGAAAACATAAGTGAAGAATGCTTATTCATAGCTTAAATGAAGTCGACACTAAAGTTAGTTGCTGCTTTTTGTCATAATTTTCAATGAAATGGCGGCAACTAACTTTATAATTGACTTTGTTTCGAATATAAATATGCCCCAATGTATGTACAAGAACGACTTCTCAGTAATTCCCCTAAATCTGATGGGTACTGGAACAGACTAATGAGAGCAATGGGAGTGGCATCTCTCTTTGAAAATGTCACATAGCGAAAAATCAAAATTCTCCAAACTTAGATGCCATGCCCTGTCATGCGCTGCGTAGGATAATCGCTTGTATGCAAAGCTCGTTAAACAGATTCTCTATGTGGCAGTACTCATGTTATGCGCTGCAGCACAATGCAAGTATAACCAGCGCTTTAGGCTGATGCAGAGTTAGAGTCAGTTACCGGAGGATCGAGTCACCCCTTATGTTAGGCCGTTCACGTACACGGGCGTAGATGTGTTTGGCCCGTTTAACGTGACAATAGGTCGTCGACGTGAGAAGCGATGGGCAGTAATTTTCACGTGCCTTACTACAAGAGCGGCTCATTTGGAGCTCGCAAATGATTTGTCGACTGATGCATTTTTGCTATGCCTGCGAAATTTTATTAACCGCCGTGGCACACCGATTAGAATCCGAAGCGACAACGGGACGAATTTTGTTGGCGCCCAACGAGAGCTGAAAGAGTCAGAGCGAATTTTGGATTTTGAGCGAATATTCAATGAGGTCACCAGGCGGAACATAGACTGGAAGTTTAATTTTCCTTCCAATCCAAGTTCAGGAGGTTGTTGGGAGCGCCTCATTCGCGTCGTTAAGAGATTGTTGCAGAATACACTTCGCGAAGAAGCACCAAGAGAAGACACACTGCGAAGCGTGCTAATTGAAACCGAAAATATATTAAACTCGAGGCCTCTGACTGAGGTGCCTTTGTCATCAAGGGAAGACGATCCCATAAATCCGAACCATTATCTGGTTGGTTGTCCCAATTCAACGCAAACACCACAGCCAGTTGACCAAAAAATATGCCTCAGGAAACAGTGGCGTATCGCCACTGGTATCTGAAGGACCGCATTTGGAAGCAGTGGATACGGCATTATTTGTCGCAATTACTCTTGCGCCACAAGTGGCACGACAAAGTTGAGGCGATTGAGATCGACGATTTAGTTCTGGTCTGCGACGATCTTCAACCGCGGAGCCAATGGAAAAAGGCCGAGTCACCAAAGTATTTCCAGCCAAGGTCGGGCAGATCAGTCTCGTCGAGGTCAGGACCGCTGGAGGAGTACTACGTCGCCTTGCAACAAGGCTTGCCATCCTGCAAATTAAAGGTGAATCCCTACGTGATTCACGGTGTGGCGGGGTGTAATGGCACCCTGTAAATTTCGTTTTAAATCGGAATCAAACTCGTCATCTGCCTTGTATAACCGGCCGTCTTCACGTGCTGGAAAATCTCGCTTGCGTGACGACGCATGCGAGAAACCGCACGTGTAGACCGCAAAAAGTACGAAGCATGCTTTTTCTCGCATACCGAGCGGTATGCGAGCTCTCGCTTGCTTTCAACTGTAATTTTTGTTGTTTGACAGCTATGTTCTCATTTTTCAGAGTAGAAACATCGTTTATTTTGGAGACAAATACAAATTTAGGGGCAGCCACTTTTCATTTGAAAATAGTATACATCTCTTTATGCAGATTTTCTAACTTTCTCAAACTTTTAAGAGCCTGCAAAGCTTGAACCTTCTTGTTTGGCGACATTTTACAAATGAAAAAGTATGCTGTCAATTGCCCAGTCAACAAAACTCTTTCTCGCTTGCGAGAGAAAAAAGCAGAACGCAAGCGAGTTTTTAAACCATGTGAAGGCGGCCGTTAAAGGACAGCGATAGCGATGGGAGAGGCAGAGTTTTGACACAACAGCCAACGACAGAACAACACAATTTGGAAACGAAGACCACAAAGGCGAACGACGATCGAGAAGAAACAAATAGCACGGAACAATCCAGAATCTTTTTTGCAATACAGCTATTTTTATAGGCAATTTACATGATTCAACTTTCGCAGGCGATTAGTTGAATCAAAAGTTGAACGAAAGTGGGCAGCCGACCAACTTCATTGAAAGCGATTAGTTGAAAGGCCGTTTACACCAGGCGATTGTTGCTTTCAACTAAAAATCGCCTCATGTAAATTCCCTATTACCCTTTTATTAACTTTGTATATTCAACACATGTTACAAATAAATTGCAGTAACAAACATATTTACAAACAAAGGAGTTCACAACATACATATGTAGGCATGTGCATCTTTTATAGTCCAATTCCAACAATTAGTTTGTTCCAGTACATTAGGACATAGTAAAAAATAGTATGAAATCACAGGAAGTCGTTCCGTACGCAAGCATTTCTCTCACTGGAAATACTTTTGAGCGAGTAAGAGAGCAACTGTCCCAGTTAGAAGTTACAGGAATTTGCCGAAGTTTATTTTTCTTCAAGTTCAGGAAATGTCAAACGATATGCAGGGTTGCATTTGTAAACAAAAACAAAACACAGCGGAAGCAAAGATGGAAGTAAACAACGAAATATTTTAATATGTACGCAATTATTCTTAATTGGAAGCGTTTTTAATCAGCATCATTGCGTAAGTCGTAAATTAGGCTAAATTGTACGACTCGACAACATTGGCATTGTTCACTGTCGTGCTGAAAAAAGTAAACGACGAAATTTGTCGAAAACTATACAGTGCTGCCAAGTTTTTCCGTTTTAATACACTAGTCGAGTGGAAATTTTAGGCAATGACGTGAAATTTTCGATACGATTCGACTCTCGAAAAACGACTTGTATTCGACACGACTCTCGCAATGAGGGTGAATAATTATTTACTGATTTGCATCCAAATCAGTGTTGTACCAATGACATGTAAACAAACCGACTGACGTTTGTGTAGGAAATAGTGCTTTTTGGGTTCCCGTACACTTCTGCATGTGTTCTCATTTTACTCATTTGCAGGTTCCAGTACAAATTAGTGCTGACTATTTGTTACTATACACACCTCATAATAGGGGCTGAAATCATCGATACTATCGATAGCCCTAGCGATAGTTTTTCATCACTACAACTGACCAAATCAGCTGTTCACAAAATTAAGTTAGGAATTCGGAGCACTATTTTCGCAGCCGTACACAAATTTGTAAACTTTGGAGTCATGTATTATATTAAAGCGGTGATAACAGCATTGCAAATCAAATGAAATATTCGGCAGTATGATATTAAAAATAAACCAGAGGAGTTATAATGTTACGGACTTGGCTGCGCGCATCGCCTTGGTGCTATTGCTGATATATTGGATTATGCCATGGCGCTTTGCTTCACATTACGAGTTTTTACACCAAAATCAAATAAGTGAGGAGCTTGTCGAGCAAGTTACCAGTAATATCTCCATGCAACGCATGCCTTCATGTGATTACAGTGATATTATAGCAGATAATGCAAACACATATCGGCCGCAGTATCGCGAACATGTACTGCGTGGAGAAGAAATAATACCCGGAGGTGAATATTTTCCGGAGGAGTGCAGCGCACGATTTAGTACCGCAATCATTGTGCCTTACCGCAAGCGGGAGGAGCAACTTCATGCTTTTCTTATCTACATGCACAATTATCTGCGGCAGCAACGCATTCATTATCGAATTTTCCTAATTGAACAATATGATCAGAAACCATTTAACCGGGCGAAGCTATTCAATATAGGCTCAGTAATTGCTGCTGAACTGGAATTTCCTTGTTTAATATTACACGATGTCGATCTGCTCCCGATGAACCTAGGTCAACTATACGCTTGTACACTGAATCCGCGACATATGTGCTCCGCTTTGGATATTTTCCGTTTTACATTGCCATATCGTGGACTATTTGGAGGAGTTGTGGCTATACGAACGCAGCAATATAGATTTATTAACGGAATGTCAAACTTGTTCGAGGGCTGGGGAGGTGAGGACGATGATTTCTTCAACAGATTGTACTCCCATAAAATTGATATTTGTCGCTTTGAGCCGGGATATAGTAAATACACGATGATGCGACACAAGCCAGAGAAAAAGAACGAAGATCGGCTGAAGTTGTTAAGAAATGGTTACAAGCGCTTCCTGACTGATGGCCTAAATTCGTTGGAGTACAAAGAAAAGGAACGTCGACTTCATAGCTTATTCACACACATTCTCGTCGAAACGTGAGTTAAATAATGTCTTACAAAAATATGCCAAGGAAAGAAATTTTTAATCGTCCGTTTAAAAGATAAGTGGATTGAAAACCCACTCGAATAAGGCTTGTAGTTGTAGTTATCAAGACTACAACGAAAAGATATAAATACATATACATACACAAGTTTAAGTACTCGTATACCTGTGAGCATCACCATGTAATTGGTCTAAGGTTACTAATCTAAAACAATTCGCCCACTATCCTCAATAGCGTATCAGCTCGAAATTCACCGTTTGGCAGGAGTTCCAAAAAACTATTTATCATGATCACATGTGCTCTTACAACAAATCAAAAACAAAAACTACTTCAGGTTTTGCTGGCAGAAATGTATGATTGTACTCTGAGGTAAATGTATAATCGGAGAACAATTTTATCGCATAATATCGAAAATGACAAATTTTTAATTAATTCACTTTTGATGCATGTGTGCGGATTGCTTTATCTGGTACTTCACATCACGTTGTTCTTAACCAAATTTCATGTACGTACATATACAGTATTGGCCAATACAATAGCACCCCCATTTCAAAGTGATATTGTTTGCCACTCATGTTTATTTATATATTTTTAAGAATTTTCAATTAAAATACAGTTCATTCTCTCACAAAACTCACATAAACTCAAGTTTAAAACTTTTTAAAAGACCGCAAAAAAGTGCAACAAATTTTCACCCAAATTTCAAACTTTTTTCTCAGAAGCGGTAGAATTTTTTTGAATACACAGTTTTATAGCCCATTCAATTTTAGTCCAATAATGTGCTAATTTCAAGTGGCTAAAAATTACCGTTGATTTTTTAGAATTTTTTTCGCCGAGGATGTTGCGGGTTTCTGCCATATAAAAATAAATTGTGTTTAGTCGTTATATGGAAGCAAATTAGAGAAAAGAAATTCTAAAAAATCAACGGTAATCTTTAGCGACTTGAAACTTCCACATTATTGGACAAAATTGAATGCGCTATAAAACTGTGTACTCAAAAAAATTCTAGAGCTTCTGAGAAAAAAGTTTGAAATTTAAGGGAAAGTTTGTTGCACTTTTTTGCGGTCTTTTAAAAAGTTTAAAACATTGGTTTATATGGGTTTTGTTAGAGAATGAACTGTATTTTAATTGAAAATTCTTAAAAACAAATAATTAAACCTAAGTGGCAAACAATATCGCTTTGAAAGGGGGGTGCTATAGATATGTCCAATACTGTATATGTACGTAGTTGTCAAGAATGAAACGATAATAGTGCTTGTTGTTGCATTAGCAAAAACTGAGCATTTGATAATAAAGATAAATTGGTAATTTTAAAGATTTGGTTGTGAATTACAAAACCTTGCAACGAGATTATACCTATCGCTACGAATCTCATTTCATACTTTAGAAGTACGCTTGGGATTCAAATTTAAAACTTTCACACCCTTATTGCGAGTGACGACTAGTAGTAGATAAACGACTCTTTTTCGATTATCGCTTGTCCATGGCATTCTGAATGTCGATTTCTCGTTCAATAAGCGACAGTCGGGTCTACGTAACCGGAACGACCCTGATTTAAATCTGGCCAAGGACTGTCACTCCAGCAATACTCCCCAAAAAGTCTTTGGGGAATTTGTATGCTGCTACAACAACAACAACCGTTTTTTTATCGCTAATTTTTCTACAACTGTTTGTTTGTTGAAGGATGAGCGACTATAAACTATTAACACGCACTTATTGAACGAGAAAACGACTTTGAAAATACCACGGATAATCGATAATCGACTAAGGGCCGGTTTCTCTATCTCCGGTTAACACTAATCCCCCGGTAAACATCGTTACCGACCTTATCGACTCCCTGTTGTATGCATGGAGTTAGAACGTCGATAACAATGTTTAACCGAGGAGTTAGTGTTAACCAGAGATGGAGAAACCGGCCCTAAAAGTGCGTTCGCGTAGCTGTTAATTGTTCATGTTTAACCAAAACTTACAAGTTTTTGCGTTCGCGTACGCAAAAAACTTGCAAAGTAGGGGAAATTGAGAGAGCAAACTGACATTTCATTTTGAGGGGAAGCTGCTGGTTTCTGCTGGAAAAATTTTTGCCAACAGCAATTTGCCAACAGGAAAACAGCTGATCAAAAACTGCTGGTTGGCATTTACGCAAATCACAAAATTGAATTTGATGGTTTGGAAGATAAAAATTACAAAATGCGACTAATTAAACTTGTAAGAAATAAGTAGTTATTTGTTTAATCAATAAACTGTGTCAGTATACAACTTTGCGATGACTTTTCGTACGTTTAAAATTTTACAATTTTGTATGTAAACAAAAATTATATCAGCTGTTCGTCTAACTTGCAAGTTGATATTTCTCTCTTGTGAGAGAACAGATGGCATTTCGCCGAAATTTGGACAGTTGGTTGGTTTCTGCTGAAGATTTTAAACGAACGCACCTATTTACTATTAGTCGACAGTCGCAATAGGGGTGTCAGTTACTTTTCTTATTATTGAAAGTAGGAGCTAGGGGTAGTGCATTAAGTTTTGAGTGCACTAAACATTTCACTAGCACTGAATATAATAAAAAAAATTAATTTTTCACTATTTACCATCAGCTTAGCGATAGGGGAAAAATTGCGCTATTAACAAATAGCGGAAAATTTTAAAAAGAACTACATTATAAGCTGAAAGCCGCTGAAAGTAAAAAATGTTCACTAAACTTTCAAAAATTAATTTGTTTGTAACATCATCACTAGAGCTTGTTGTTGTTGACCCATTTTGTAATGATGACATTATGTGAATTTCACCATGAGCTTCACAGATTTGGCTAATTATTTTTTGTGGTATTGGCATGTATAAAAAAATCTACGTACAAGGTTGGGCTCGAGTTGAGTTACATAGTATTACAAAAAAAAAAATCGGTCTAAACATTAGTCTTGAAGAAAAAATGGTACTCTGGGCACAATAACGTTTTTTTTACTATTATAATATTAGTTTTAGTATAAACTTTTTAATTCCGGTATCACATTAAGCAATAATGAGGCTGATTATTTTGCAATTCACCACTTACATCAACAGTGGAAATTAAAAATGTTGTATTCGAAAAATACGTGTACTACTCCCAAATCTGCTAAAAATGCAAAGTAGTTAAGATTATATTTTTAATGTATGTATTGAAATGTAAAATTTTACCTACAAGGATCAAGAAAGACATACTAACATATCGACGATGTTTTTGCAAAACCGCTCATAGACCAATTGCAAAACCGCTGATCCTACGGCACTCAAATTTTACTGGAGTGCGAAAAACGGTTTTTTAAGGCATTGCCTTGATAGACCGTATTTTCTCTAGCTATTATTTTACAAATCTGTTGTTTTAATAAAGGTGAATAAATCTCGATGCCTGGAGTTCAGTGTTGCCAAATCTAATTTTTGCCACAACGGCGATTTAGGCTGTTTTGCGCCTGGTCGATGGGCTTTTAAATTATTGGCACACATAAAAAAAGTTCTAAGTTTTTTTCTAGTCTATATCTAATACGCACACGCGTATGTTTCACGTAAACGCACACGCACGCAAATAAACAAATCGCGGCTACAAAATGCTAAACAATAATGTATGTATGTAGAAGTACATGCAACATACTGTGTATATATGTATATGAATCCTAATGTAACTATGCCAAGTGCTTTAAGTTGTTTTAAATTTAGAGCATGAAGAATCTCAATTGAAGTATATTTAACTAGGACAATGACGATAATAAATTGATACTCATAGTTTGAAACTTAAAACTGTGTTTGATTTTATATCTTTAATATTTTCTCAATTATCTTTATTGCTATTTTTTTCTAAGCCCATACAGTGTCACGGATCCAATTAATAAAGTTATATACACGCGTATAAACGCCCGGTTGATTGGGTGTACCACAGCCCATACCAAAAGACGTAACACCAACTATCGTATACATGCATGGAAAACTGGGATGGTAGGCCAATAATGGGCCACCAGAATCACCACTGCAAGTGTCTTTCGCTTCATTTGACCCAGCACATATTTGCGAACGATTGTCCACTCCTCTGGGAAGTTGATCTACATCTCCAGATTCTGTTATACGTTGACAACTGTGGAAATCGAATCGATGCAGAGTCACTTTTAATAGTTTCTTTGAATCAGCATCGGCGAAGTGGATACTGCCCCAACCGATAGCGACAAATTTTTCAAATTCATCACCTGAGGTTGTTGGCAAACAGGCGGGATGTTTATATGCGTCGAAATTAACAGCGCGATCCAGTTCAATGAGAGCTATATCATTATAAATGGTGCCACTTTCATAATTCTTATGTTCGACGTAGCGACGAACACGAATATCTTCTGGTTGTGCGTCATCCGATTCTTTTTCAAACTCCAGTTCGCCCAAGCGAACTACATTCACTTCACCGCTGCGGAGATAAAAAAACATGAAATGTTTTATCATAAATTCACATGATATTTATAATCGTTAAATGAGATAATTTCTTTGTAACTATAAAGTACTCCATTTCAACTGTAGAGTCTTGTTTTTTGCTAAATTTTTAAACTATATTTAAAGGAACAAAAATGTGAGATAGAGCCTTTCTATACTTTGGTAAAGATATGTATGTACATATATACAAATAAATGTATGTTGTATTTAAAGACGTGCTCTTACCGGCTTGATGAAAGGCAATGCGCTGCAGTTAAAACATATTTATCACTTACTAATGTCCCACCACAAAACCATTCTATCGATCTATCTTTCTCCTCACGACCCAATCGTGCAATATGCGGAAATTCCCTGGGGCTTGCTGGAGTTCCACCCACTATTAGCGGTGCATACGGCTTGCAATTATCTACCGTAAAGCTTAATTCTTCTGCGCCATGTATGAAAGCGCTAAAAGTTCGCACCTCTTCGAATATAAGTTGCTTCACTTCAGTGCATTCTTAAAGAAAATACAATTAAAACTTGCACAACTACTATACCAAATCATTTACTTTTTACTTCAATTGTTGGCTGGACTTGTCCCCTAACGAAAGCCCACTTATTATCAAGCACAAGCAAGAAAAGTATTGCTCTTGTAAAAAGATTTCTGAGCTGCATACTTTCCATCCAATTTCTTTGATGCATTGTTCGCAACTGCGGGCTCGAATTGAAGATGAGCTCGAACTACATTCTCTAACTTGTTAGAGCCCAGAATGAAATATTTATGTATAAGTATACAAATGTATAGGCAAATTTATTTGTGTGTTGATTCCCCGCCTGTTGCTGTATTGTTAATCGCGGTTTTCATATGTACGGGAATCTTTTCACCGTCTGACATAACAAGTTTTCATATCAAGTTTTGAGTAGGAAGTGTTTACAATGGTGTTTACTTTCTTAGATATGTGTATGTATGTATGTATGTATTTATGTACATGTGTACTCTGCTGATGAGCATTTTCGTTACCTGAGCAGGACAATTTCGTATTTGTGGAATAAAGGTGTCCCAACTGAACACACGTGCATTAAACAAGGATGCACTTACGACAATGACTCAATATCTCGATTTTACTGTTATTATACTTAAAATCTGGT